AAAAAATTAGACTAAAGAAATTGAACAATTAAGAAGGAAAACTCAAACTTACAGTTGAGGTTGCGACCTCGGCACACATCAAATCAAGCGCAAGTTTAAGGTGAGTAAAGTGGAGTTTTGTTGCTTCGTTGACAATGAGGTCTTAAGGCATCAAGAAAAAAAGAAGTAGCATCGAAATCTACCCAATATCATTTCAAAGAATGATAAAAATAAGCCTAAATAATATCTGTAGGAAACTTGCATGGCATCGGTCTATTTAACATGTGTACAACGGCCTGAAGTGACAACATGAAATGCAAAAAAAAACTAAAGTAAATGCAGTGTTTTTGCTACGATAACTTGGTGGTGGACAGGGTTATAACGACAATTAAGCTAAAATTAGCCGATGTTACCTAAAAAAGTGCGAAATTCTGCACCAACTCAATCAAACGTGGGTATAAAATGCATCATTTTGAGACCAATACTAAAGTCAATGAAATATAAACAGGAGCAATAAGGTTAGCAGAAGTTGACCTAAATGTTTCAAATAGAAACCTCCACTTGTTACTTAACAAATTTGATTAATTGGTAGCCAACCAACGACCACACCCATGGGGCCGCAAGTGCCAACAGTATACTGGTCTGGAGATCTGGAGGAGCAATTTCCGTTGCCTAATGACCAGCAGCACACTGGGCCCACCACACGAACGATTGGATAAGAAAATATCCAATTAATCGACCAAAGTGACGTCGCATACAAATGAATTTTTGTAAACCCAATTAATCCAGTGCGGTGCTATCATGAGCGAATACTCTAACCTCCCTCGTAAAGATGATGGTACGTGATAAAATTAAAGGGACAAATTGCTACAAGTTGCCAGCTTAAAAGTTAGCAGCTAAGTGTGTTTTGGTCTTTGTCTTGTTGTCATTAACTGAATAATGAAATTGCGCCATTAACACACCTCGCAACCAGCTCGATGCGTAGGCATTACCCTTTTGGGGAAGTACTGGTCCTGGAGGCAACTGACCGGAATGCATGCTAAAAAGAACGAGGACAATGGAAAGTTAAGTTTCGTAAAAACGAATCAGGTGCTACCTAAAATAAAACTATCACACATTGGAGCTCCTTCAAAGTGATTTTGAAAAGATTACACTCGATCTGAGAATGTAGCTTTTAAATCCCTAGTGATTCTGAAAGCACTCACAAAGTACAACCAGTTTTTTTTTATTTTGAAAAAAAATAATGCAAAACTGACGACTTTCTCCATGTCCTCCAGGTTGTCTCGGGATCGAACAGCCACTCAATGTATCTTGAGCCAAGTTTGAAGGTGTCTGTCCACTGGTTTTGGTAAGTAGCATCATGTCTGGCTTGGCATAGAAAATGCTCAAGACAGGAGTCGACGGCCACTAAGTAGTCGTAAACAAGCAGACTGGGACGATTATCACGCCTCCTGAGTAAAACAAAACAAGATCACTAAACACCTTTACTAATTGAATATGTCAAAATTTAGGATAGCAAAACGTACCTTGCTATGAGACAAAGAAATGTAAGTATTGATTCGTAACCAGGGTTCCATTCAGACATTTCACGCAACTGCGACAGCGTGGTAAAGACGGTATGAAGACAATCGCTGGGAAGCGCACTGACAGACACTCCATCAGAACTGGTTCTTAAAGTTGTAAAAGTGGTTGAGGAATTAGGCGCTAGAACTCTAGATTAAATTTTAAACAGATGCTTCGATGCAAGTTCAGGGTATTACACGGAAGGCAGACTTTATGCGTATTCTAGCAACAAGATTTAGAAAGCAGGTGATTTTATTACTTAGTCAAAAGTGGTTAGATAACAGTAAGGACACTTTACAGAAGGCAAACCTAAATTACAAGCTATCGTGAATAAAAAAAATTGTAAAGAGTTTGCTCACTCGCAGAGATCGAGAAAATTTGAAGGAATAGAAAACTGATTAAGCAGACTTCGGGTGTATTTGTCGAGAGAAGAAAAGGATGTCTACAAATTTAGAAATCATGGATTTATTACTAACAAATGGGGGTTGTTTCATAATATAAGGAGAACAAATAATCTGGAGATCACATCAGTCATAAAATAATCAAAGAATTCAGTCCAATATGACTAAAGTACACAAAGTAAATAGTCGAAAACAAATTAATGCCACACAAGAAAAAAACTTTACAAATAAAAAACGCACAATATTGCAAAACAGTCCTGTTAAACGTAAAGCACAAGACAGTAAAATTAGGTGATTCATTTCAGGTAAATCTTCGTGAGAGTCATGACACCATCGTCATTCACCACAACCAGTGCACAATGCGATAACAGTCTTTACCAATTTTACAATTAAAGAATTCAAACACCAAAGTGTTACCTTGTCAAAGGAACAAAATGTTAGATTATGATTAATATGGCAGCTTCTAATGACCCACGCTTTAAGCAATAAAAAATATTTTCTTACAGCTGCCATGGAGAAATGTAAGAAAGACTTGAGTGCCGAAACACTTCCTACCTCTAATAAAAACAATTATCTAATTTAAATTAGACAGATAGAAATACGACGAGCTGCGTTTCTAAAAAACAGCCTATCAAAAAACTTCGGTAAAGTCATCATTTATTTTGCATGTGCCACAAAAAGCACAGAATCTTTTTAATAAAATACTTGAGCTTTTATTGAAAAGACCTATAGCATTAAACCACTCTTGAGAAATGCTATTCTAAAACGTCCAAACAATGGATTTTGTAATATGCGTCATGGTATTTACCTATTGGTGATGGACAAATGGAATAACACGAATAGTAAAATTGGTTCCAGTTAAGAACGCGACAACTTCAGACACTTAATAAAGTTTGCAGAAGTGTGACTGCTGAACGCATACAGTTAAATTACAAAGGCCTGACACAAAACTACATATTAATAGCTGACAAATTCACACAGTAATTATGAATACAAACCAAGATAACTAGGACATTAGACAGGGCACACTAAACATATGTGACATCACGGAAAAATACAATAGCACAAAATTTAATTTTCAAAAAATAACGTTCTGTGCTTACATCGTTTTTAAAAAGTTCCCATGAAATGACAGCCGTTAAACTTGCCATCAGCACACTAACTATCGCATTTTCGTTGATTCCGTAAACTGGGTTAGTTATATCACCGAGTAAAACAAATTTTTGTAAAAGTTTATAGACCTGAGAGAAAAAGTACTTACAAAATTAAAATTATGTAAGTAGTTTAACTATATTTTAATATTTTTTAAAGGCGGTATTGACAATATTACTAATTTAGGGTCTGTCACATCGCTTCTTGAATGAAATTTCTTTTTGTTTCGTTTTGATAAAGGTACTTTAGTTCCATGTGTCATATAACATCACAAATACATTTCTAAGCAAAAAAAGCACAAATTGTTTATTTACAAGGCAGCCCTTTCTCAGCAGAATTCCTCACGAGCTCGCTAATCGAACATTGATGCCATGTGCCAAAAGCCCGTTATTTAAAAAAATTTCAAGTCGGGAACCTTATTATTAGTTAAAATACGAACACGTAGAATATCTATTAAAAACACAGAAAATAGACTGTTTTTAAAAGCAAAAGAATCATTTACAAATTTCTGCCAAAAGTGCTTAGTTGTGCCTGTAATTGCATATTCTAAATAAAAGAACACATACACAGATGCTATTAGCATATCACTTAATCGCGTTTCACCAGAACTTATAATTTGCGTAGTAACAGTGACTCCTATTACTTAAGGTTACTTATCTTTAATCTTCGAGCGACGAATAATATATCAAGATAGGACATAAGTTTGTATGCGGTGTTGTTTGTGTGTTATCGCAGTGCGCTTATGACCTTTGGGCTATCAACAATTAAAATAAGCTTTAAAAGCTAATAAGATTCATTTTTAATATTTTACAGGCAATTTTGAAACTAAAATAAACAATTTTTTAATGCCGCATTTTTCCCATGCACAAATCTGGTGGCATTAGCAGGCCCTAATAAAAGGTACGACTTTGCTTTAAGAATGCTGGTGATAAAATATATGTGCACATGGTGGCTGTGTTCGCCAACCCTTTCTATGCTGGAAGGTCATTTTCGGCTATTTGAACTAGTGTGCACATCAATCTCTCCAACAAGGCTTCTTTTAACGCACTTCGCTCTTTTAAAGTCAAGCACGACATTTTTGTGATACCCTGTGGTCATTCACTCCTGTGCAATTACCACCACTTCACAGCTTATATCAATTTTTTCAGTGTTTTAATTATTAAGACATAATTAACTTGAGTCAGTTGGACAGAAAGAAGAGCACTAAACATATTTTTTAAAGAGTAGATTTTACTGCAGTTTTAATTTTTATTGCGATTATCGAAAAATATTTTTGAAAAACACTAATGGCATTCCCTATCCTAATCAAAGAAATTGCATTTTTTTCCAGTTTTGCAAAAAAAATTAATTTTTTTAAGTTATGAATGCAATATAGAGTGATTTTTTTATTTTTCGAAAACCTGCCGCAAAGTTCGATTCATCTATCGCTAGTTTGTTTTAGCTGATTGTACTGGCGCAGATTCAATCATTTCTGTTTCCTTACTAAGCTAAGTGAGTGATATGTTGGCTGGCATATGGCTGGTGGTTTCCGTTAGTATGTGCAAATTCAGAATATATGTTTTATTTTCACGACGAATCGACATTTGAGTTAATTTTGCATGAGGATTTCTTGCTATGGTTCTAGTCACCTTTCTCTTGGCTGTATTAGCCATGTTTAAATTTTGCTTTTTTGGTGTAGTTCATGCGTCTAACTCCGGCTGGTTTGGCGTGCGCCATTTGTGAATTGGATATATTCGTATCCGTATTGTTTTATTGTACTTTTCACTTTGTCAAGGGATCAGGTTGCGTGTGTGTGCTCTGCAAAATCCAGTAGTCGAGTGAATCCTTGATGCTGTCGTCCAACCTCCCATATCGTCATTTTTTCCATGATACGTCTACTTGTACTTATGTTTGTGTATACTGTAGATGGAGGAGAACGATCAAGCTCAGGCCGTCCCTCATCTCTGCCGAAATGGATGCGGCTTTTATGGTAGCCCGAATTTCGATGGACTGTGTTCGAAATGTCATCGGGATACTCAAGTAGCTTCTGAAGTAGCGAAACCCGCTGCTCGGATTCTAACGCCATCAAGCGGTAGCTGCTGTGATAAGGCATTTTACTTTTTCTTTGTGCATTCACTTTACTATTCATTTATTTTATCAGCAGTTCCCCATCCTGACACATCGAGTGTTGCATCTGTCGCGAAGCCAAAATCGGATACTAAGGCGGACGAAAATTCTTCCAGTTCCTGTTCTTTAACGTCATCTGTTGGCACTGACACTGGTGCTACCTCTGGTATGTTGTGGACTTGTTTCCCAAGTGCACTGGAAAAATTTTTACATTTATATTTTCCAATTTAGTAACATCGACCACAAACGAACCTGCACCTAGAAAGTGCCTGCGCTGTATGACTTGCAATAAACGTGTTGGTCTCACAGGTAAGATTCTGCTTTTATAATTACGCTGAGAGGCTGTTTTATAAGCTTTGATACAATGCTTACTCTAGATGCTGAGTTAATTAAATTGGTTTTAAATCTTAAAATAACTGACTTGGACGGGAACTGAAGACTTACACAATATTTAATGCTCTCTTTTCATTCTCAGGTTTTACTTGTCGATGTGGTGGTCTGTTTTGTACTGTCCATCGATATTCAGACACACACGACTGCGCCTTCAATTATCGGGAGTCTGGCCAAGCAGATATTCGGAAAGCTAACCCTCAAGTAATTTGCTCCAAAATCAACAAAATCTAATACGGATGATTTGCGATTTCAAATCTGCTCGTCGCATGCCCTTTGTTCACAAACTACCTTCGCCATTACACCATGTTACACTAAAGCACCACAACTGTGAACTTCAGACTGACACTCTAGGTATATATTGATGTTTCCAAGCAGCCTGGAAGGAAAAATCAGTTCCGAACGTCATGGCTCCAACGTCAGTTTGATTGTCTTGGTGCGCTTTTGCTCTGGGCAACTGACTTGGCCGCTGTTGAAACCAACGTGCAATTTCCCTTCCACAGACTCCACTTCCACTGTACACAATCCCTTCAAATTTTCAACGTGGTAAAAGGTTGCCTTGGCAACTCGCGGGCTGTTGTTTCAATAATGTTGTGTGTTTACAGCTACCTTCCCAAGTTTTTCCTGCGCTTGCGTTCTCATCTGTAGCATCACTAACGCTACTACACGCTGCGCTACATACGGGACTACACATTCAGATCCAAGCTGTCAAGGTTGCAACGCCTGGATTCTTCCCGCCTTCTTGCAGTTTAGCACTTCCAAGTGTGTATACCAGTCCAGTCTTTCTCGTGTCGGAAAGCGCGTTCCGAATTCATGCGGCTAAATATTTGCGCAGTTTATGGTGTATTTGTATATGGCCATCTGTTTCACCTTCAGCATAATTCTCGATTTACTGCTTCGCGTAGAATCGAACAATGAGCTCAAACCAATTCACACACACACAACGCCACGTTTTTAGTCCAACGCACTTTACCTTGGCTTGATTTTTCTCTCGTGTAGTTTCCTGCTCGCTGTGCTTCATTGTTGGCGACCATTTCGGTGCTTACGCACTTGAATTCTTTATACCACATGCTTGAATATGCTTGTGTTGACTTATTACGGTTTGTCAATGGCCATTCTTTTGTGTGGCATGTCCTTCAGACGCATATCTGTAGTAAGATGTAGAATTTCGCAATTATCGTCGTTATGCTCACACCATTGTTTGTGTAGTTCATCTGATAGGCTTCAAAATTAGTCCTTACCACCTAGCATAAGGTATAGAAATCAAGTTGTGTTCTGCTAAATTTTGATTTGTTACCCCAATAATTCGTCCTTTTGTGTTGGAAAACATGATAACACTGGGAGATGCTGAATAACTTGCGCAAGTATTCTCCTGTCGCTCCTTGTTAGGTGTGTAGGGAAATCGGTTATATCTGAGCGTTTTACAAAACATAAGTTCACTCATGGCGGCGTCGGAAAACTTGCGATGGTCTGCGCAAGTAGCTCCGACTCAAACGGCATTTTTTTATCGGTGGCTGCTGTGCGTTTCTCTTCACCTAATCCTCGAACATCTATGGGTTGGGGTGATTTTTAACCACGAGCCTCAATGCTCTCGCCAGATGCTTGAATGTGGTTGGATCTGGCTAGATTCTGACCATTCTGCTTTAAGATGAATTTCATTTGATACTTATTTGGTTTAGATTTTTTCGAGGGTGGGTCTATCTGTTATACACGTAAGTGCGTGTCACGATGGAACCTTTCAAACTACTTTTTAGTTATGTCAATTTTGGCGTCATGATGATGGTGGTCCACACTTGAGCAGCATTAATTCTATATGACTCATCACTGCCTCTACACAAGTGTTATGATGAACGCTGATGACAACGTATTTCATCACCAAATTCTCGAATTAGATGGAGCTCGTCTGATCTCACCTACCACAATACTTTTATGTGCGTGGGATTTGTTAGTAAATGGCGCTTGTAGCATAACTACACCGTGTGGCCCTCGTAGTTTCGCTGTCTAGTGGAACATGCAATGTGAAGACTGCGACACGCTAAATGGATGTCTTAGTGATGTTAGTTATTTCCCGCACAATGCTGATCTGCTGACGCGACACCTTCGCATTACATTTCCCAGAGCGTGTGCCCAAGGCTTCAAGGGGATTGTGATTCTAGCGTCTACGATGGTGTAGTGGCATTGCCTAAAATTGTTCCATTCTGATCATCATGCTCATATAACCAACGGTAGTATGCGCTGTTTTCTCGAGGGAAAATTTAACCACATTGGTCACCGTATAATGATACGTTCGGGGAGGTTAAATACCAAAGTTGGGTTGATGAGCAGTTTACTTGAGCTCAGTGGCATCAGTCCACGGTAAGTACGGGTCTTACATCAAATGGAATAAATGTCAAAGAGCACAGCCAGCAGTTAATTAATTTTCCCTGACTCTTTTTCCGTCTCTTCGATCCTAGAGTGCAAATTGGCCCAAAATGCATATATGAAAGGAGATTCCGATGTGCCTGGTGTTGAGAGTTCATCAGTTCTAAAAATACCAAAAAAAGTAAGACTAGGAGTAGTAAAAGGAGATTTTGTTCAATAAATTTCAGTATCGAATGGACTGGTTCAATTACCACATAGGGTCACATTCCGCTACTTTCCGAAGATAGTAATTTAAAGGGTGAAGAACCTTGTTAAATACATGCAATTCATATATATTTCGAACTGGACTGTAGACCATTTAAGTTGTATTTCGCTGGTTGAAGGCTTCTCCGAATTTGATTTCCATTTGCCTAAATTATGGCTCATTGTAAATTTATTTCGCTCGATTGTTGGCGGCTTCCTCCTTCCTTTATGTACACGAGTGTTTAATTTGTATAACGAAAATCCGGAGCATGATGTAGCCTGATCGAAATTGCGTCCTCAGCTCTTTAGGGGATGCCCAAAGTCTAACTTTAATAGGTGAACAATTTTCGTGATAGTCATCAATTGGAGTTAGCGCATGTCGTAAAAGTCGACGCGCTCTCTTTGCGCTCTATGCATACCCATGCTTGATTTGCTCCAAGAGGGAAAGGTTTTCGTCTCACCTAGTCGATCTCCGTCTTCGCGTCTTACTACGGGCAAGCGAACAGCCGTAGGCGCTCTACCGATCAATAAACCTCGGGGGCGTGCAGCTGTCAGGACTGTGTGCGTGCGCGCTGTGACGTTGTAGCCGGTGCACGCACTCACACACGTGACGTAGACGCATACGCACGCGAGCGCATTCCCTCTCCTAAAAGTACTGCTGATGTTTATCGTGAGTTTGCTGCACTTGTTTTACATAAGGCAAGAAGTAGCGCGTACACGTCCACATGATTAACTTGCATCGTGAAGGTGGCTAAAATACTCCAGATGAAGTAGGCGCTGTTCTTAAGGGTAAATGTATGCTCATCGTTTAAATCACGTGTAATAAGCCCGCTAAAAGTCCTGTCACAAATCGATAATAGGCTAATATCTGAGACATTTTCAATTTGTTAAGGGGGCACTTGTACAGTTTGATACTTTATCGGAATTTATCAGAAATTTTACAATGATCTCGAAACAACTAAACACGTCTCATCATAGTTTCATAAAGGAGGCACTTCCATTTAATCGGTAGCAGGATGTATACACTAACTCAAACCACAGCACCTCTGGGACGAAATAAACTTGTCATGAGTATGGGTTTCGTGAAGCTCTAACGGTAGCATAGTCATTCTGAACCAGAATTCTTTCAGCGCCAAAATATCCTTGTCTCAAGGCCTAAAATATCGCTGGTAGAAAGAGCATGTAGCAGCTTAAACGAATTCGTAAGTAAAAAATTCAGCAGCCCTTGACACCAAACTTGCGTTCCTGGGATGCCGGTATTTTACTAGCTTGTATTTTCATCAGGTCCTACTTTCACCATGCCCTTCTAGCTAACAAAACGGACATATATTAAGCACCTCTCGTGACCCACATGCATTATCAACAGCTCCGCAATTAGAGAAAGCGTGTGCTTGGCAAGGCACACCCTAGGTCTCCACCTATTTTACAGTGTGGGTATTTGCATGCTTACGACGACTAATATTCCAATCGATGCACTTGGCTTAATCTTCGTTAATTAGTGCTATAATGCATAATGGCATAATGTGTCAATCCCAAAAATACCCATTTCGACTAAAGTAACTTAACTTTCCGTCCGTGTCAAAGTGAAAGTAATGCGTTTGGTATAAACATCCAGGCGCTGTCACTCAGCGTTTCTGTGTGAACAAGAGGGGCTATGGCCATCTACGTTTGCCCGTTCTGGCTAAAGTCCATGCGCCTAAAAGTACACTGCATAGTGCCACCTGACATACCAGCGCCCAGGTTTAAACGTTACTGTGTTTGTCCGCTGTGCAAGGCCACGTGTGCATGCCTTTGACGTGCATTCCAAGAAAAATTCATCGGGGTTTATTTGTCTCGTGATGATTGTGTGCAAAGTCACAATCTCTACTGCCGCAGGTATCTTGCCACTTGACGTTCCGCTCGTAGTGTGCCTATTGGAATGATTCAACGATAGTGATAAAAACCATTATGGTAACTCGGGTGAGCAGGGGGAGTGAATAGAATTTTTTTGGAATTAGAGCATCAGGCTAATGGTCCCAGCGCACACACAAAAGTTGCGGACTTTTGGACTCGTTGAGAAAAAAAGCCTAGATCAAGCCATGAATTCAGCTTCAATTGAAAAGCGCAGCGTCATCAAAATGGCGAACAAGATGATTTGAGTCATTGGAGCGACATTTTGTAAATGTGGACAGTAAAGCCCCTCGAATTGCCGTCATTTTCAAAGGTACAGTGGCACTCTGCTTCAAGTCGGAGTTAATTTTGTACAAGCATTTTTGGGATGCCAGACTGCGTTGAATGGTTGTCTGTTAAATGTAAATATGTTATGCGTTATTTGTAAAAGCGATGACCCTTTAACAGAAATAAAACTGACTTTAAATGTACATAGAAACCACGGTCGAAATTCTGTTGGTGAGGTTACAGATTTGATCATGTTTAGAGAGGGAGGCTTGTTTTGAGGCACGTGTTTGCGTTCATTTTGTACTTCCTGGGGCATTTTGTGTGAATCTCTGTTTTCTTGTTGTTGGTTAATTTTCGCCACAATATGGAGGTCAGTCACGACGTTCTTGAGGTTTTAAACAATAATCTAGTTTTAACCAGAATGTAGAACACAGAAGGATTTTGTGCTGCAGGATGACCCTTACGATTTGAAA